ACCTCAGAGTAACATCGCAAACATATTATTCACCCGAGTACACAACACCAACACAGAAAAAAATTCATATTACAAGAACACATTGGTATTGAAGGAACTAGATACTGTTCCGAAATATCACTTACTCGAACCGTCCTGACCGCGTAGCTCAGTTGGAAGAGCATTGGGCTGGTATTCCAAAGGTCGTAGGTTCGAATCCCACCGTGGCCGGGCATATTTTTCAAGCTCGGCCGGTGTGGATATACACTCAGAGTAACACCACAAATATCATATTCACCTGAGTACACTACACCAACACAGAAAAAAAAAAAAAATTCATATTACTAGAATACATTGGTATCGAAGGAACTAGATTCTGTTCCGAAATATCACTTACTCGAAACGTCCTGACCGCGTAGCTCAGTTGGAAGAGCATTGGGCTAGTATTCCAAAGGTCGTAGGTTCGAATCCCACCGTGGCCGGGCATATTTTTCAAGCTCGCCCGGTGTGGATATGCACTCAGAGTAATATCGCAAACATATTATTCACCTGAGTACACAACACCAACACAGAAAAAAATTCATATTACAAGAACACATTGGTATTGAAGGAACTAGATACTGTTCTAAAATATCACTTACTCGAACCGTCCTGACCGCGTAGCTCAGTTGGAAGAGCATTGGGCTAGTATTTTCCAAAGGTCGTAGGTTCGAATCCCACCGTGGCCGGGCATATATTTCATGCTCGCCCGGTGTGGATATGCACTCAGAGTAACATCGCAAACATATTATTCACCTGAGTACACAACACCAACACAGAAAAAAAAATTAATTTTATTATTATTTAAAAACTCATTAATAATTCATGAGGAAAATAAAAAAAATGAATGTTTATAGTTAATCAATGTTTGCAAATCGCGGATAAAGATTTGTCCTGATTTACATGAACTTCAGCTTTGATTTTCTCGGCTTAGACCATATTTATTTTTAAAATTACCTCGCCAATGAACTCATAAGATGGGTCGTTTTTTAAGCACGTTAAAATAATCGCATCCGATCTTTATCTTATATACAACTGAAATCTCGCCTTCGGCTCGAGTTTGTATATCAGATAAAGATCGATTGCTTATGTTTTAACTAGTACTTAAAGTATTCAGCTTTTATATGAGAGGTGGCATGGTTTATATGACTAGCTAATGTCGAAGCGGAATGATAAAAAACGTATAGATAGTGTGGATTAGAAATAGCGAAGAACAGATAATTTAATTTGATTTCTTCCCAACCTTCATTTGCTTTTAGTTCACACTGTTTCCCATCTCCTTGAAACAATGTTGGACATTCTTCACAAGTAAATCCTTCAGAATTCTGAGCAGTGGAACAGTTGAGACCTGGATAACATGGTAGTTCTTCACAGGGATTTGGACGTATTTCACATCGTTGACCTGTGTAGGGATCTTCACATTCACAGAGATAATCTGATGGTTGAACTGGATATGTAATGGACTTGTTTTGATAACATTTACCATTGTGCACACATGGACATTCAAAGGCATTCACTTCAAGAATTAAAATGTTCTTTGCTCCCATCTCATCTTCAACTTGTACATAAACAGTTCCATTTTCTTTAACATTCGGTATTGTAAGCAATTGTTTCGAGATTTGTGCTGTGGTCAAAGTTCCATTTGATAGCAAGGTAAATGTCATGTCTTGATTTTCAGGATCTACTGCCATAATCTGAATTTTGAAGTCATTGTTCAAGATAGCGTAAACTGCACTTGGAATGGCAAACTGAGGGGGTCGATTTTCTAGAAAATTGAAATTACGCAGTGTTGGCTTTCTTTCACATTAGTGACATTACTATTGTTTGTAAACATCATGATGTTGACGGGAGCGTGTGCATGTATCCATACCAAATGATTTAAATAATAATCCTGTATAATGTGTCAATTATTAAATAAAACTTTTAATACAAAGTTGAAGGTAGGATAATGAAAGAACACAACAATAATTGTTATGTTCCTTCGGCAGAATACACAAGAGTTTCAAGATTGTTTTTCTTCTTATATATTTCTTCATTATATAATTTTAATTAATTTTTGGAACAAAGGTAAATTTTTCAAAATTTTATCGAAGGGTATGATACAAATATTTCT